CGTGAAATATAATATCCTCTTTGCAAATTATTGCTTTTTTATTGTGTTATTTTATTGCAATTAAAGTTGAGATAATTTTTTAGTTAATTGGATTTAACCTAAATAAAAAACAAAAATCAACGTTGAATTTACGTTGTTTCAACGTTGCTCTAACGTCTTATCAACTACGTATCAATCGAATATATCACCTATTTAAAGTTGAAATATGGTTGATATGTAGTCGATAAGACGTTAGATCAACGTTGAAACGACGTAATCATCGACGCTGTTTCAACATCGTAGTTTTTGACGTCGGATTTTATTTCCAATTCAACCAAATTTCAACGTTGTTTCAACGTGTCATATGGTCGGTTTGCGACGTTGTTTCAACGTTATTTCAACGTCATTGTGCCTGCTGGGTAAGCATTGTATTGCATTTATACCATTTATACCTGTATTAAAACCTGCTATAAAACACATATAAATAACAATTATTCTATTACAAATTTTATTATTTTTTATAACAGATTGTACAATACAAGTGAGATTTGATAGATAATGCCAACTGTTATTATAACTGATGTTATAACATTAATTCACAAAACAATATAAAATAATATTATATATAACCAATAATATAGAATTAATAATATACCTAATAAAATGTTATACAGTTAATAACAGTAATAAACTTTTAGTATAAGCGTATTATTAGAATAGTTTGTTTTACTATAAGTGTTTCATCATACCTGTGAAACGCCTTGTTTTAGTTTTTGGCGATTTGTGCAACCATATGTACAGCACGAAATAACCAATCTGTTTTCAACAATGCTATTTTCAACAAGTAATAGTTGCTTTTAAAAATTGAAATATTAAAACTCTTTTGAAAACTTAGGTTTAGTTAACATAAGGTTTAGTTAACATAAGGTTTAGTTTAGTTAGTTAACATAAGGTTTAGTTAACATAAGGTTTAGGTTTAGTTAACATAAGGTAATTCCTCTTCAAAACTCTTTCTGAATTCAAGTTTTTTGCCATGCCGCAAGCTGGCGGACGCTGGCTTTACTTTTCAATTCAAGTCACGCTCTAAGTTATATTTACGTCATTGAGTATGCGTTAATTTTTCTTATCTTTAATATTAAATAGAAAAAAAAAAAAAATTTGTTTATACAAAGTTTTTAGTTTTATGATAGTGATAAATATAACTTGATAAATATAAAAATAAAAATGTTAACAAATTACCTCAATAAAAATTTCAGTCTTAAAATCATTTTTTTAAGTTATTTTTAATGATTTTGTTATCGTTTCTTTACCTTGCTTAAAATAATTTATTCATTAAAATTTGTTTTTATAATAAAATTTTAAGATATACTTAGCTAAATAACGAAAAGAAAATAGTTTGATTCAAAGAACTGTTAATAATGCATATATTAAATAACACATTTTAAATAATATATATTAAATAATATATTTTATAATATTTATTAAATAATATATTTTATAATATATATTAAATAATATATTTTAGTTCCTTCAAAATTTATATATACTTCAATGACGTTTGTCGCCCTTATTTTTAATTAAACAGCGTTTTTCTAAATGGGGCTGAGCCCATAATTTCCAAAAGTGTTTTTTGGAGAAGATGCAAATTTATTTATTTTATAAATAAAAAAATTGTTCATCATATATCAATATTTCACCGGATAAATAGTTATTTTTATTTTTCTCAAAACAATAAAGATGTGATGTGCCTTTTACAAAAACTTTCTTTTATGGACTTTGGTTTCTTTGGTAGCTGGACTCTAATGCATTTTGGTCTTTATATTCACAATAAAAGTAACAAATAAGTATTGTTATCGCCATAGCAATTTATAATTTAAGTTAGATCAAATATCACATGTCATATATATATATATATATATATATATATATATATATATATATATATATATATATATATATATATATATATATATATATATATATATATATATATATATATATATATATATATATATATATATATATATATATATATATTATATTATATTTATTATATATAATAGTATTATTTATATATAAATTATTGTATTATATACAGTAAATATTTGATTCAAGAGTTAAAAAAGAATTTTTTAAGACATAACACGTAAAAAATTCATGCTTTACACTGTGGGACAAAAATACCACATCAAAAAACATCTATACTCTTGAATTAAGTATTCATTATTTATATATATATATTATATATTTATTCAAGATTTTATATATATAACTTATTGTATTATATATAATAAATATTTGATTCAAGAGTGTAAAATATTCTAATGCGGGAATTGTGAGAAGCGTGTGTAAAGCATGTATATTTTATGTGGAATGTCTGTGGATTATCGTTCAACCAGTTTTATAACTACCAAAGGTTGTAAAACTGGTTGAACTCGTTGCTTGCAAGGTTTTCTCTTGTAAGAAAAGTTGCAAAGAGTAACCCTAAATGTTTAATATGAGTTAAAGATCATCATAAATTTAATGAAGTTGTGTCTCGTAATTTGAATTTAAGCAAACTTTTTGTTTAAGATTTCAAAGGATAGTTAAAAATTACATTTTTTACAGACTGTTAAGATTGCTTCACCCACCTATCGACAGGTTCGTCTTAACCACTATTTAGCATAGGCAGCTGCTGCGAAGCCAAGGCATTTGGAGAAGCCAGTCAGCAAAGAATAAACGTTTTTTAATGAACTATAAAAATTACGTTGCCTTTTTTCAAATAGCTCTAAGGATTTATCCACAATATTTGACATTATATTATTAATATTTATACTAGAAAATCTTGACTTGTAAAACGGGTCATAATAGGTCTACTTCACACCTCCCACTTATTATTCACTCGTTTTCAATATGTTAAAGAAAGTGGTAGAATGTAATGATCTTAGCTTCATTAGAGATCTAATTTAACATTTCCTTTTGAGTTGTTCAAGTATTTAATGCATATAGTATAACAAAGTAGATATATATAAAACGTGGCTTCAATCTTTTAGCCTATAAAATCAAAGTATTTTTTTCCATGTGTGTGTTTTTTTAAATTTTAAGCTTTTAAACTCGGTTCTGTTCTATTATTTATCTTGATTTCATTTAATAATGCAACAGAAACTAAAAAAAAAAAAATATGGTGAGCGAATATATCGACCTACCTCTGAGCTGTTAACCTAATCCATTCATACATATATTTCAGAAGTCATCCGAGTAATGCGGAAAGTATTTTGCGAAAAGTATTTGTATTAAATTAAAAATACTTTTGTTTAGGTAATGGGTTAAAAGGTTAGAAAACAGGTGCATCTCAACAAATATATATTTAAACTTATAAAAAATCTTTTAACAAACCCATAACAACATAAATTCCTAAATTTATACATCTTTAGAACAACTTTATATATATATATGATATAAAGTTAAATATTTAGTAAAATAACAAAATAAAAAAAGACAAAAATAAATAAAACGCAATATTTGTCAATTTTCTTAGAAAACAATTAACGTTGAAGACAGCACAACTTTTGTAAAGAACGTACTTTTCAAAATCATTTATAACAGCCGCCATTTGCACAACTGAGACCTAGCACAGTCTATTATAAAGAAAACCATTATAATAATTAAAAATGTTTATTACTAATAGAGACGATTTCATATGTATTAAAAAAATTACGTTACTCCATAGTAGAGGCACATTTTTAATTAAAAAAAAAGAATTCGAAGATTGTTTACATGTTTATGTAAAACTTCATACTGTTCGCTTTTTAGTTTTTTTTTGGTTGTTTCTGATGAAAGAAAGACGCTGCCCTTCAATTTTGACTCATGCATCAAAAGCATTTTGCTGAAATAGTTTCTTGCCATAAAATATTAAACAAAAGTTTTGTCTTACTGAATGTCTATAATTGTAAACTGAGATAATATAACACGATTTCTAACCAGTGTTGCATGTTAGTACATGTAGCTGCTACAGGAACTACATAAATACCAGATAGCCCGTGGTCCGCAACATAGCTACTGCATATGCATACAGCCTTTTATATAAGATAAATATATCAAGCTTTAAATAAAAACTTCAGTGATATAAAATCAAAATTTAGAAAAGAAAAAAAATAGTTTAAGTAAATAAAATAATAATTTCACATTAAATGTATTATTTGATTTTTGCAATATCAAAATCAAAAATTTAAAAAAATTTAATTTGACGTCAGTTAACTAATAATCGTCACTAAACGCATTAAATTAGAAATATATAGCCAATTAGACTTTAGCAGATTCTATTTTAGCCGATTAAATTTGTTATAAAGAATTGTAACGAAGCAGATTAAATAATAACTACACTTTTAAGAAATTCACCGTAGATTTAACAGAGAAAGTTAGGTAGCAAAGTGACAGCACTTTCTCCGTAAAAACAAAACGGTTTCCAAAGTTTCTATTTTCCATAAAAATCAAGGAAAAAGTCCGTTAAAAAAGGTACAGAGCATTCGCCATAAAATTTACTTTTCCGTATTTTATTTTTTCCGTTAAAATTACCGGATAAATTCAGCAATGCAGTTGTTTTTTTTTTTTTTTTTTTGTTTTTTTTTTGTTTTTTTTTTTATATATATTTATTTCGCCTTCTACAATAAATACAATATTTATATATACTGACAAAAGGCAACCCGTAATACGGGTTTTGGTCGGTCTGTTACATAATTAATTTATAGTGGCTGTTTTCCACAATTTAATGTTGCAAAACCTTAACTAATACCCTTTTAGAAAATCGCCTTTAGCTTGAAAAACTTAATCCATCTGTAAAATTAACATAAAAATTATGAGGAGGTAAAATAATTTACTAACTACTACTTAACATTTACAAATACTACTTAACATTATTTAAGTAATTTACAAATGGCATAGGTCATAACAGTGTATGGCAGAACCATTTTCATCGACCTTCCTAAGTTTAACACAATACGTTTTTAGTTACTGACACAAAATAATAACACTTGGTCATGCTTTAAATTGACGAAAGTGTCAACTAAATCCTTGTAATAATTTTTATAACACGAACCATTAAGATTAAAATGAAGTTAACTTATATTATACAGGAGTCATCAATTTTTGATATCCCCTTGATTAATTGCTCTTTAGAAAAGAAAATTGTTAACTTAAAAATGTTAAATGCACACATTTAAATAAATTTATAAAAAATAACAAAGTTTATTATAAAGGCGAGTTTCCACTCATCCGTTTTTCTACGGGAACGGGATAGGAAAGGTAAAAATAATCACGTGAGCATGCTTAATAAAGGTTCTTATTTGTCCGAAAGAAAACTGAGCATGCTCACGTGATTATTTTTCCCCGTTGAAAAACAGATGAGTGGAAACTCACCTTAACTACGCAACTGAGTACAAATATTTTTCAAACAAAAAAAAATTTAATTTACGATCAAACATATGTATATCAAATTTTTTAATACATTAATGCATCATATGACAAACTGAAATAAAAATTATAAGAGATAAGTTGACATAAAAATTTGTAAACCAAGCTGACCTGATCCGGGTCTTGTTAAGTCTGTTATACAAAGACCATTTCTATATTATTTGTTTGGCCTCTTTATTTCATTAAATTTTTAGTAAACGGTAATTTGTCACCATTTACTAAAAATTCCTTTTGTAACTCGAAATTTGATTTTCCTAAATATTTCGACTCTAATAAAGAGTTTCCTTCCCTCTCTTTGCTTTAATGGTGGCCAGGTAAATAAAATAAAATAATAAAACGTAAAACAATGATCTACTTATATAAGAATCTTTTCTTTCTTTCCTCAAAAGTGTTGCAAATAAAGACTAAGCTAACTAATTAGTTAAACAAATAAATAAAATTTAAGTAACTCGATATTAATGCG